GGCGCGCTGCCCCCTCGACCCCCGTTTGTTCGCCCCGAAGCGGCGAAGTGGCAAACAATTTTGCCTAAACGGATTGAGTCGAGCTTTTGAGTATTTGGCCGAATTCGATACGAACTTTAATCGATTTTCAATTCTCAATTTATTTAACCAATATCCAACAATCTCCACCGTTTTATTTTGGTCTTTATACAATCAGGCACTAGTTTATTACTCTGCTCGATTGCTGGAGGCAGAGTCGTATTAGCCCCGTTTGAGCCCTATTATTTTTTATTATATTAAATTAAATTTTTTTTCTATTTTTAATCACATAATTTTCAATAAAATAATATTATACATAAATTAAAAATTTTTTAACCACTCATTTTTAAAAAAAATATTATTCATTTTATTATAATCTACAAATAATAGGGCTCAAACGGCTATTTAGATTTAAAAGTTAAGTAATTTTAAACGGTTCAAAATAAAATAGCAGTAAATGAGTAAAATGTTTAGTGGCTAATCGCTTGTCGAGTCACATGTCTACCTCTTCACCGAAAAGAACATTATGTATTTTTAAAATCTATCAAAAATAATATTAAAATGTGTAACAATAACTAGTGTCAGAAAGAGAGGATATGCTCGAAAATGAAGTGGAAGTACAATAATTTAGATAAAATAATATATAATAAAAAGGAAAATGAAAAATGAAACGAAGTGCCTATCTATAGCTGGAAAATGCTATTCGTATATCGAAGTTGACATTTCAGTGTACACTCTCTTCATATAAAGGGATGAATCCCACGACAGTATAAAATCTTGTGATCTTCCATGTGAGCGGAGTGTGCTTCGAAGTGTCAACCCCAATATACATGTAGCAAAACTCATAAAAAAGCTTCCTGAAGTTCAAATTATTCACGATTTAATATAATTTAAAAAGATTGTTATAATTATTGAGGCATGATTTTTATCTTCAAAAGGTCAATTTTGTAAAAATAATATATCAGTAATTAATTTGAAGTAAGTATTCAGATATGTGATTCATGTCAAAAGGAGTACTTAACTTTTCTTAATTAATAGTTTTGAGAATACTTATCTAAGAATTCAACAGTTCAGAGGCCTTTGGTGTCCCCTCCAGTCAAGAATTGAGGCCTCACAATTACTAGCCAATAGGCTTTTCTCTCATGCTTTTCTTCGTTCATGGTTCGATATTCTGGTATCCTAGGCGTAGAGGAATCACACCAATCCATCCCGAACTTGGTGGTTAAACTTTAATGCGGTGACGATATTGTAGGGGAGGTCCTGTGGAAAAATAGCTCGACGCCATCATGCACTGTTTACAATTTTTTTAGCTCTGAAGTACTCACAACCTTGGAATGTTATCTTTAAATGTAAAAAACTTGTTAACAAGTTGCATATTCATAGCCTGTTTGAGTCTCATATTTTGTATAGAATGTATTTTTGAATAGTGGATTGATACAAAATGTGTAATTGAAAAATAAGAAAAAAATTAAATTTACGTATAATATTATTTTATTAAAAATGTATAATTGAAAGGATGATAGAGAAATATATTTTGAAAGTAACGAGGATCAAACAAGGGGCTGAGTTTAATTAATAATTATGGAAACCATTACAAGAAGTTGGTGGTAATCCTAGGGGCTAATTGAGTTTAACGAGAAGCGTTGAGTGGGGTTACTATTGAAATTATTGTCCCTTGTGCGGCCCATTGATTATTATTTGACTGCAAATCATTTTTTAACTGACGCCTCCAATATCACATAAATTCGACTGACAGACTCATTTGGCTCCCACTGAATCACCAACAAAAACTAGTACCGTCGGAAATGATGTTGGTACCAAGTTGCAGGCGATACTCCTCTACCTCGTGCAAATAAATTATCAATGCAGTAGCTCTGGGACATAGTCAGTGGTGCAAAGGATAGGAGTGAAATTATTTTACGTTTTGTTGGCAAACGCAGTGTGAGGGTTCAATTCTTAAGATATAGAATTAGACTCTTTGTAGGCATAGTGTACATACAGCTCTTGTTCCATGGCCTAACGATTTACCTCTCTCACAAAACTCTAGAGGCGGGATGATGGAGCTCTCAAAATTGGGGTTCAACATTTTTTTTTTTAAATTATTAATGCAGTAGTTAATAATTTTTATTGGAATTCTTAAATAACGCATTATGAATGTCAGGGATGAAGTCCAATTTGATATGATGAAACTAGCAACTGGATATATATATTTTACGAATGCCTTCTAAATATAGTAAGGCTTTAGTTTGATAATAATTTTTAATTTTAAGGTTCCTAATCTTTTAGATTTTACCAACGTGTATCATTTTATATATTTATCAAAGAATAATGTTACTTTATCAGGTTGAAGTCGACTGACAAAAAAATATTTCTTAGTCTAAATTATTTATTAATTGAGTATTAGTTTCTCCAATTTTACTGAAATTATTAAATATATAAGGGGTTAAATAACACAAATTTAATTTGTTGTTAAAGGGTTTGTTTGATGCAGATTTTTTTAAAGTAAATTTTATGAAAAAGGAAAATTATTTTTTTTGGAGAATGTGTGGTTATAAGTAAAAAAAAAAAAAAAATTGTTGAAAAATATGATTTAAAATGAGCGTAAAAAAAAAAATGATTTTCAAAAATATGTAACAACAGGGACCCAAGATTCATAGAGGCTGCTTTGATTTATGAGTTCATAGTCTCTGGGTGTAAAATGGATATGATCCTTTTGCAGGAGGGAGGCGAGTAAGGCCCGTTTAAATATAGAATATTAGGCCCATTAAAGATTGATTCTAGAAGGTTAAGGATTCTTGGATTGAGAATCTTATTGGATTATATTTTCATCTTCAAGTTGAATTAAAAGTAGGAAAAATAACGCAAAACCATACTTATAAACTTTACATTTCAAAACTAGGGTGATTAGGTTTAATTTTCTAAAATCAGGTGTTAATTATTTATTTTAAAATTAATAATAATTATAAACTAATTGTTCATTTACGTGATGAAATAACCCTCTATTTCTGAATTACACAGTTTTCATAATATTTCTGCACGTAATCACTGATCATCCAAACCACGTCCTTCGCGTTTTACCATAAACCCCCCTCTCTCTCTCTCTCTACAGTGCAGTGCAGAAAGAAACCACGTTTTTCTCTCTCTTCTTCTCTCTACCAGAAATACAGCAACGACGTTGCTCTCTCTCTCTCTCCTCTCTTCTCTCTCTCTACTACAGTAAAGTAACCTCCCACTCCGTTTCTCCACTATTGCGAACCGCACAATAGTTTATTAAATTTTAGTTTCAACAATAGTTGTGTTTGGAATGGCAAAAACTCGAAGTTTTGGTGCGAAAATGATGGAGAAGGATAAAGGAAAGAGGAAATATGTTGAAAGAGATTCTTCTTCAGCAAAAAGAGTTAAAATGTCATCCTCTGGCGGGAAACCCATGAAGAAGGTGAACTCCGATTTTGTGACATATTATTTGAGTAGTTTGTGGCCTGATTTGGGTATTCTGCGTAGGAAATATAATTTTGTGATCTGTTTTAGGTATTTTGTAATTTGAAGGTTTTGTGACTTATTTTATGTATTGCGTGATTGTGACTTTCTACTTGTTTGTGTTATGATTTTGGAAAATTTGTGACCAACTATTTTAGGATCTGGCGGGAAACTCATGAAAAAGGTGAACTCCGATTTTGTGACCTAATTTCTGAAATTTGTGACCTATTATTTGAGTAGTTTGTGACCTGATGTGGGTATTTTGTGTAGGAAATATCATTTTGTGACCAACTCATTGAGTAGTTTGTAATTTGTACTGTGTGATCAATTACTATTTACTTTAATCGAATGTGTTTTTAAAGGAGTGCTGGATTGTTTGCGAATGAAATAGTTGTTGTGACTTTTTACTTCTTTGTGTTATAATCTTAGAAGAGTTGGTCACAGCGAAATGTTTGTGTTGAAGGTCAGAGTAACATTTTTTATTTTACCATTGTGCAGGACTGGAAATACTTAATAAAATCAAGGAATTGGTTTTCTGGAAAAATCACCACAACGCAAATACAGAGTGTGATTACGCACTTTGTGATGAAATTTAAGGCTGCGCAGAGGGCAATTCTAGAAAACACATGTTTCTCCTACTACATGCGTTGTAGGGAGATAGTTGTGCAGCCACAATTGATTCACCAAGTTTTACTACGGGAGGTCAAGCAACCGAATAAGCAAGAGATGTGGTTTAATGTAAATGGGAGATATATTCTTTTTTCAATTGCTGAATTTTGTTTGGTTACGGGATTGAGGTATGATGGGGTCGATGGTCGACCAATGTTAGATGAAAAACCGTCTTCAGTGAAGGACACATATTTTAAGGACTTAAAAGCTGTTACAAGTGAAGATGTCAAGAGGGTTTTTATTTCACTTGATGATGCACCAGACCTTGACGTTGTTAAGATTGGAATTATCTATCTCATCACCTCATACTTATTTGCTACATCCTACCCGAAGGTGGTGGATCAATACATATTTGCACTTGTAGACGATTTTGCCACTCTTGAAACATTTCCTTGGGGTAGATATTTGTTTGAGACCACCTTATTGTCGCTAAAAAAGGGACTATCAAAACAAACTAGTCACTATAGATTGACAGGTTTTTTAGTGGCTTTCCAGGTGTGGTTATATGAGTGCATACCTGCACTTGAGGGAAATGTGGCCACAAGAATTTATAAGAAATATCCACGCATTATTAATTGGACTGCGCACAAACATCCTTCAGTGTCAATGTTGGAGGACAAAGTATTTGGAAATGAGAATGTAAGGTTTTAAATACATTTAAATTGTTATGTAATCATTTGGTTGATTATATAAATTTTGAAATGGCATATGATCAATATTTTTTCATCTTATGTGAAACAGGTTGTGATAAATGACATAGATCCATCTGAAGTTGAGCTCACAATGCCATATATGACAAGTTTTAAATATGAAATTCACATTTATTATGATACGAAATATGATTTGTGACCTGAAGTATGAATATCCTGTTTGTAAAGTGACATATGTTTTATGACTGTGACCTGAAACATGTAACTTGTGACCTGTGACTCTCTTTGTCGTTATGTATGTTGTGGCTTGTGCCTTGTGACTTAGTTTGCTCTTATGCAACTTGTGACTTGTGAATGTGATCGAAAACGTGTGATATGTGACTTTCTTCAGACGATTGTGAACTGAAGTATGAATATCCTGTTTTGTAAAGTCACATGTCTCTTAAGCTTGTGACGTGAAACATGTGACTTGTTTCTTGTGACTTTCTTCATTCTTATATATGTTGTGTACGATCGGTAGATGTGGAGTACTCAAAGCCTAGACAACCAACTCGGAATGTTAGGATCTCTGAAAATCAACTGGGCACAAGTGAGGCAACTCCCCTACTGTCGAAGGTAGATGTTGAAGATTCAGATTTTGTAGGCCCATCACTATATAAACAAACGGGGGCTGCTGGCTCTAGCTCTCGCGATCAGCAAAGTGCTGCCTCACATCCAGATTGCTCATGTGTCGAGGTAAGTAATATCATTGTCTTTTCACTTCAGAACACATTTTATATACAATTTCACTAACTACAAAATTTATCAGGAATGTGGTCGACTGAAGCAGTTGATTGAAAAGGAAGTAACCAAGCTCCAAGCGGAGAACAAGGGGTTGAAAGAGGAGATTATGTCGATGAAGTCAAAACTATCTAAGATGAATGTAAACATGCTTCAATCAAACAATTCTTTGAAGCTCAATGAGGTCATTCAGA